AGTTTTAATTTCCAGTGTGACTGAGGCTCAGTATCATGAGTGGAGCGCTGTTTACTATCGTTTACTACAGTCTTACATGAGAGTTATCATGGCTTTACTGTTCATCTACTTTCTCCTCAGTCAGTCACAAATTTAGTACAACATGTGAGGCATCATAAAAACATCCTCAATGTCAGGACTTAATTGTTCTTTCTGTCACCTTCCCAGGAAGTGTTGTTAAAGACAGCAAAACAGCAACAGACAGGACAGGTGAGTGCTTTACCTGTTACATACTGTTTTTAAAGCTTGTGGACGATTATCAAAGTTTAAGTCAATTTTCAAACAGGGGAAAGGTTTGCCGTTATAAAAGCAAAAGTAAAATGAACAGGATGAGGTAGTAAAGAAGTCAGATTTTATCATTAAACCAGGATGCCTTGATTATTACTGTTTATCATAGACAGGACATAATTTCCCATTTTGTCATCATCCTGGCGAGGTGTACCTGATTAACATGCAGTGAATTTATATTTTGTTAATACAAAACAGTTTAGCTGGATGGGCTGTGTCATCTTTGATACTCAATAACTCTGAGTTTATACTCCACACAAAAAGCACCATTATAGCTCCATGTTAACAAGTTTGCAAATGACAAAGACTGACAGTAAATATGGGGAAGTGATATCCTGTCTACATAATACACAGTAACAGTCAAGGCAGTTTGGGTTGATGGTCAGTCTCACCTAATTAATACTGGCTGTACTTACTTGCAATAAATAATACAGTGACCGAAATAACCAGTAAGTTAAATGAACACCTCTATGAAACCATTTAAAAAGAATAAACATCATAACTCTCATACAAGTTGGATTTTATTTCTGGACTTTGTACAAACTGCAGTCAGGTGTCACTTTTGGCCTCTGGAAATAATGCTGCTCGACCCAATACAAGTAGCAGTGGAGCAATTCATGCACCTGTAGTTGTGCTGCTTAAATCATAAGCAATCGCCCTAAAATCTCAATCCCTCTCTCTATTTTTGGTGATTTCAACAACATGTTCCCAGTATTTGTGATATCTAAAAAGCTGTCAAGCTAGATTTTTCAGTGCATTATTGCTTAGTAAGTATATTCTACATCATTACATGGATTATTAATATGTGTGTTGTTTTTTATAGCATGCACGGAGAACCTAACAGAGACTGTCGCCTTCAGCAGAAGGTAAACTGTTCCTTTTTGTCTGTGTGGTTATAAGCTGGAAATTGTCACCAGCACCTAATTTTGTCTCTGTTTCTGTGCTCTTTTTCATCATGAACAGCTATTTAGCTTTGGATCCTGCAGAGGAGTACAAGATGGACAACAAACGACGAGGCCTTGCACTCATCTTTAACCAGGAGCACTTCCAAGACGACTTCTTCGACGCCAGGCGTGGAACCGAAGCTGACCGGAAAAACTTGGAGAAAAGGTATCACTTCCCAGCCAACTGCAGAGGGATCACTGTGTTTGTAGACCTGTGTGATTATGAACTTGTCTGCACTTGTTCGGCATCTGTGATGTTTTTCTGTGGTAACACTTCTCACGTATTTCAATATATGCTGAACTTGTAATCACCTCTCTTTTAGACTGATGGAGCTAAACTTTGAAGTGAAGACTTACAATGACTTAAGACAGGTGAAAGTCTTAGGTAGACTCAAGGAAGGTAAGCAAATGCGTTGTCCCTTATGCCAGTTTAAATTCTTCTTCCTGCTTCCTTTTTGGCCTGTATATACAAATCTCAGATCCAACATGTGATATGCTGCAGTAACAAACACCTGATGTCTCACCAGCCGCAGAAGCCGACCATTCAGATGCAGACTGCTTTTTGCTCGTCTTCCTGAGCCATGGAGAGAAAGATCACGTTAAGACCTACGATGACAAGATCAGCATTGAGGATATCACATCCCTGTTCAAAGGAGACAAGTGCAGGAGCCTCGTAGGAAAGCCAAAGATCTTTATATTTCAGGTACAAGCAAACAAAACCCAGTCAAATCCATCAGTGTATGGCAGCGTGTAGCATTACTTGTTTTTGATGCTTGACTTGGAAATCTATAGTTCTTAAAAATGCATTCAAAGTTAAGTCTGTCACTAGGCATGACCCAGTGACTCCAAAACAGCGACAAAACCCAGTCAAATCCATCAGAATATGGCAACATGCAGTGTCAGCTGTTTTTAATGCTGTACTTAGAAATCCATAGGAACTCAAAATGATATTCAGAGCATGAAGGTGGTGGATCCAGTGACTGGTAGCTAACAGTGCTAACAGTGCAACCAGTGCTAACAATGGCAACAGTGTTGACAAAGCTAACAGTGTTAAATAGGGGGAGGGTGGGCGCTGAGCTTCCAGTCGCCATTATTAGCAGTTACCACCAGTGCAGAGAGGCGGCAATGAGCTAGCCAGTGGGATACATGCACAGGACTAATATACTGACACACACACAGCTGGACCATTGAGAAGCTCGGATGACAACACACGCACGCACGCACGCACGCACGCACGCACACACACACACACACACACACACACACACACACACACACAGAGCGTGACTACATTCTCTGCTCAAGATGTCATCACTCCACTATATACTTTCTATAGAAAATACTGGTCTGCTGCCATATTAATGTTTCGAATATCATATAGAGTTTTGTTAAAAATGCCCTCTAAGTAAACGTGGCTGTGTCCATCACTAGGCATGCCGCGGTCAAATGTATGATGATCCAGTTACTGCCTGTGGTGGAGCCGGTGGAGCGCATAGCGTGTTGGAGACAAACGAGGAGGTGGTGGAAGCCGGCGGTGTACACACTCTCCCTGCTGGGGCTGATTTCATCATGTGCTACTCTGTGGCTGAAGGTGAGCCGGTGGGAATGTTTGTCTCAGTACAGTGGGAAGGTTCACACTACATTTGACTGAGTTCATACTTTGAAGATGTCACATGGATACTACTCACTTTAAATGTCCCTTTTGCTGGTCAGTCAGTAACTATCCTGTCCTGTCATCTGTGTTGTTTCTTAAGGTTACTTTTCCCTCCGGGAGACGATCAAAGGTTCCTGGTATATTCAGGATCTGTGTGAGCTGCTTCAGGAGTATGGGAACTCCCTTGAATTCACAGAATTACTGACGATGGTAAACAGGAAAGTGTCGATGAGGAGTGTCGAGAAAAGTAGAGACAGGAATGCCATTGGGAAGAAGCAAGTACCTTGCTTTGCTTCAATGCTCACCAAGAAACTTTACTTCCGACCAAAGAAGTAACCGTTTCCAAGCTCAGTCATAAAATGAGCTGGATTTATATTACTCCTGATATTCACACATGCATTGAACAATCAGCTATTGGCAGTCTTAGTTTTTACATTGAAAACAATAGTAACAGAATAACAGGAGTAACTTGTGTTACATTTACATTTTATAAAATTAACAAATTAATTTCTGCTGTGGTTCATGCCAGGAAAGTTACAGAGCTTGAGTGTGCAATAAGTTAGTGTAGAGATGGTTGTAAAACACAGTATGACCTACAGAGGGCAAGACAGAGCTCATTTTAAACAATGTAAATATGGTTACTGCAATAACCCTAACTGACAGCAATTCTTTAATTCTGACTCATTAATACAAAATCAAGCTGTAATAAGATTAGTAGATTTATATTGATCTTTGAAAATGTCCCAAGTTCTATTTGACAATCAATATTTAGAGTCTGATAAAACCTCTTGCCACCTGGCTCTCTATACTGCTGTGATTGTAAATGTTGCTTCCAGGCATTGTAAATTATACTCTCAACAAATTAATAAAGGCACCTGCTTTCAAATCAGCTCACCTTTCACCTGTTGTGTACTTCCTCTTGCTATTCTTCTTTGGCTCTGGATATAAGCCATACCTGGACAGCCAGAGTGAGTCTCGTGTGTGTCAGTATGAAGTGAAGAGGGAACTGTGACACTGCCACAGGATCAAGACTGTGACACAGACAGATTCAGAAGTACAACCCTGACAGAAGGATGCCAGCAATGTAAACCTCTTTGAGATTTTCTGAGTGATAGAGATTATTTTGCCTGCACTGACCTGTGTCATCACCTGCATTTATTGGAGTTTTTAAATGTTGACATTGGTTACACAAAGTCAAAGTGGTTGCATCCTTAAAAGGAGAGCAGTCAGGACAGTGCACAACGTGGGGTACAGGGAACACACCAACACATTTTTTTTTTAAGTCACATGCATTGAAATGTTTAGATCTGGTCCAATTTAAAACTGCAATAATCATGTTTAAAGTGAGAAATAATTCACTTCTGGGCAACATTCAAAAAATGTTTTGTGACAGGGATGGGGTCGATCTAGTAGTACCAACCCTCAAATATGGTCATGAGCTTTGGGTACTAACTGGAATGAGATGATGGATACGAGTGTCCAAAATTTGTTTTCTCCATAGGGTGGCAGGGCTAGGGGGCTCTGAGTAGAGCTGCTGTGTGTAGATGTAAGTCAGTTGAGGTTTTTTGAGCATCTGATCAGGATGCCTCCTGGGCTTCTTCCTTCAGAGAGTTTCTGGGTACGTCCAACTGGTAGGAGACTGTGGGGTAGATCCACAACACATTGGAGAGATTATCCATCTCATCTGGTTTGGGAATGTTCTGGGATCCCCCAGGAGGAGCTGGAAAACGTTGCTGGGCAAAGGGACATGTGGACTGGAAGCTGCAGAAAATGGATTGATGGATCAGAAGGTGTTGCAGGGTGGCGATCATAAAATTCCCGGTTGCTGACCTTTGACTGACAGATGTGAGCCATGTTCTCTGCTTGTCCCTTTCAGCCAATGACACCGAAGGGGAGGAGTTTAATCCTAGTTTATCAGAGTCGAATTGACTGGGCAAATTAAAGTTTCAGCACCTGCAGTTAGAGTGAAGACAACCTGTGAAGATGTCAAACACAGCAGAAGACATATGTGGAGGTAACACATTTAGATTTATCTTTCAAATTAAAAGTAGACATAAGTTGTGGGCTCCTGTATATGGAATTTCAAAAGTTGAAAAAATACAAGGAGTTTTAATTTCCAATGTGACTGAGGTTCAGTATCACGAGTGGAACGCGGTTTACTATTGTTTACTACAGTCTTACATAAGAGTTATCATGCCTTTACTGTTATCCTCAATTACTCTTTCTGTCACCTTCCCAGGAGGTGTTGCTAAAGACAGCAAAACAGCAACAGACAGGGCAGGTGAGTGCTTTACCTGTTACATACTGTTTTTAAAGCTTGTGGACGATTATCAAAGTTTAAGTCAGTTTTCAAACAGGGGAAAGGTTTGCCGTTATGAAAGCAAAAGTGAAACAAACAGGATGAGGTTGTAAAGAAGTCAGATTTTATTGCCAATGGAGCCAAAGTACTGTGAATGCAAATAAGATTAGATTAATCATTAAACCAGGACGCCTTGATTATTACTGTTTATCATAGACAGAATATAATTTTCCCATTTTGTCATCATCCTAGCTAAATTTATTTATGACAGACAAATGCAGTGAATTTATATTGTATTAATACAAAACAGTTTAGCTGGAGTTCACACTCCACACAAAAAGCACCATTATAGGTCCATGTTAACAAGTTTGCAAATGTCAAAGGATGACAGGAAACATGGGGAAGTGATATCCGGTCTACATAATACACAGTAAAAATCAAGGCAGTTTGGGTTGATGATTAGTCTCACCCAATTAATACTGGCTGTACTCACTTGCAATAAATAATACAGTGACCGAAATAACCATCAAGTTACATTTACACCTCTATAAAACCATTTAAAATCAATCTAAACATTATGACTTTCATAAAAGTTGGATTTTATTGCTGGACTTTGTACAAACTGCAGTCAGGTGTCACTTTTGGCTGCTGGGCCAATGTGCTGCTTGGCCCCATACTAACAGCAAAGGAGCAATTTATGCACCTGTAGTTGTGCTGCTTAACAAAGAAGCAAACGCCTGAAAATCTCGATCCTTCTCTCTATTTTTGGCAACTTCAATTTAATGTTCCGAGTACTTTTGATATTTAAAAAAGGTATAAAGCTAGATTTTTCAGTGCATTATTGTTTAGTACTTATATTCTACATCATTCTGTGGATTATTAATGTGTGTTGTTTTTTATAGCATGCACAGAGAACCTAACAGAGACTGACGCCTTCATCAGAAGGTAAACTGTTGCTTTTTGTCCGTGTGGTTATAAGCTGGAAATTCTCACCAGCACTCACCTATTATTGTCTTTGTTTCGTCATGAAACAGCTCTTTAGCTTTGGATCCTGCAGAGGAGTACAAGATGGACAACAAACGACGAGGCCTTGCACTCATCTTTAACCAGGAGCACTTCCAAGACGACTTCTTCGACGCCAGGCGTGGAACCGAAGCTGACCGGAAAAACTTGGAGAAAAGGTATCACTTCCCAAGCAGCTGCGGAGGGAACAGTGTTTGTATAACTGTGTGGTTATGAACTTGTCTGCACTTGTTCAGTGTCTGTTAGATTTTTCTTTGGTAAAACTTTGAAAGAATTTCTCATGTATTTCAATATATGCTGAACTTTTAATCACCTCTCTTTTAGACTGAAGGAGCTAAAATTTGAAGTGAGGGCTTATGATGACCTCGGAAAGAAGGATGTCGAAGATAGACTCAAGGAAGGTAAGCACATGCATCATCACTTATGCCGCTTAAATTAATTAATGTATATTCAGGAACCAATTTAAATGCTTCCCTGCTTCCTTGTTGTCCTGTAGATATAAAGCTCAGATCCAACATGTGATATGCTGCAGTACAAGCCACTTTTAACAGATACCTGATGTCTCACCAGCCGCAGAAGCTGACCATTCAGATGCAGACTGCTTTTTGCTCATCTTCCTGAGCCACGGCGATGATGATTACGTCAACACCTTCGATGGCGATATCCGCATTCAGGATATCACATCCCTGTTCAGAGGAGACAAGTGCAGGAGCCTCGTAGGAAAGCCAAAGATCTTTATATTTCAGGTACATGCAAACAAAACCCAGTCAAATCCATCAGAAAATGGCAACATATAGTGTCAGCTGTTTTTAGAAATCCAATGAATTTAAAGGAACTCTATTCAGATATTCAGAGCATGGAGGTGGCAGATCCAGCAGCTAGCAGCTAACGGTGCTAACAATGCAAACACTGCTACCAATGGCAACAGTGCTGACAAAGCTAATGGTGTTAAATAGGGGGAGGCTGGAGGGTGGGCGCTGAGCTTCGGTGAGGATACTGTCCTGTTATTAGCAGTTACCACCATATACCACCAGTGCAGAGAGGCAGCAATGAGTGGGATACATGCACAAGACTAATATACTGACACGCACATACAGCTGGACCATTGAGAAGCTCAGATGACAACACACACACACACACACACACACACACATACAGAGCGTGACTTCATTCTCTGCTCAAGATGCCAATACTCCACTATATTTTTATGTTCACAATACTGGTCTGCTGCCATATTAATGTTTCGAATATCATATTATATATATCAGTTTTGTCAAAAATGCTCTCTAACTAAACGTGACTGTGTCCATCACTAGGCATGCCGCGGTAAAATGCATGACGATCCAGTTACTGCCTGTGATGCAGTGGATAGTGTGTTGGAGACAAACGAGGATGTGGTGGACGCTGGCGGTGTACACACTCTCCCTGCTGGGGCTGATTTCATCATGTGCTACTCTGTGGCTGAAGGTGAGCCGGTGGGAATGTTTGTCTCAGTACAGTGGGAAGGTTCACACTACATTTGACTGAGTTCATACTTTGAAGATGTCATATGGATACTACTCACTTGAAATGTCCTTTTTGCTGGTCAGTCAGTAACTATCCTGTCCTGTCATCTGTGTTGTTTCTTAAGGTTACTATTCCCACCGCAACATCTTCTATGGTTCCTGGTATATTCAGGATCTGTGTGAGCTGCTTCAAAAATATTGGGACTCCCTTGAATTCACAGAATTACTGACGCTGGTGAACAGGAAAGTGTCGATGAGGAGTGCGAACAGTCGTGACCCTGATATAAGTGGGAAGAAGCAAGTACCTTGCTTTGCTTCAATGCTCACCAAGAAACTTTATTTCCGACCAAAGAAGTAACCGTTTCAGACCTCAGTAATAAAATCAGCTGGTTTTATATTACTCCTGATATTCGCACATGCATTGACCAATCCACCTGTTAACAGGACTATCTTCTATTACATGTCATAAAATTAACTTCTGCTGTGGTTTATGCCAGGAAATTTTCAGAGCTTGCTTGTGAAATAAGTGAGGAAGTGTACAAATGGTGTTAAACCACAGTATGACCTGCAGAGGGCAAGATAGAGCTCTGTATTGCAAAACCTCTTGCCACCTTGCTCTCTGTGTTGCTGTGATTGTGGATTTTGCTGTGAGGCATTTTAAAGTTTACTCTCACAACATAAATAAGGGCACCTGTTGTCAAACCAGCTTACCTTTCACCTGTTGTGTATTTGCTCATGTTCTTCTGCTTTGGCTTTGGATGTAAGCAATACCTGAACAGCCAGAGGGAGTCTTATGTGTGTCAATGAAGTGAAGAGGGAACTGTGACACTGCCACAGGATCAAGACTGTGAAACAGATGCAATAAATGCCTATGAGATTTTCCAAGGGACGGAGATTTTTCAGCCTGCACTGACCTGTGTCATCACCTTCCCTTTTATTGCTGAGTTTTGAAATGCTGACATTGTTTTTAAACGGAAAGTGAAGATAGTACTGAAGTTGACGATTACATTCTTTCCCATGCGGTTAATCATTTGCCAATATGGTGTAGGCTTTATGTATTTGTTCTGTGATAGACTAGAAACAGGTTCAGGGTTTCCCTGGTTTATGGGTGCTTGGGAAGTGTCCATCTGCAGCATCTAAATAATTTTTGTTGTTCTCCTTTTAAATTTGTGAATATTTGTAAATATTATATAAAGATGTCCATGTGGCATCCTTGGAGAAAACATGTATAAAAAGGTCTTCATAAATAAGATGTGGTTTTCTTTATCATATTTTGTGCCAGTTGACATCATACACAATTTGGGGGGGGGGGGGGGATGCTCCAATTGATCCTTCATCAAAAATTTCTCCAAAAGTCTCCAAAAGTTTCTCCATCATGTGGTTGAAGTTTATAATGCAAGAGAGGGCCACTAAAAACTCTGGATTAGATGTTAAGCCTTCCTAATCTTCGGCTGCACTAAACCTAATCTCACTTTCGCTGTTTATGCTTTATAAAATACCCGTATTTCAAACTTCTATGAGTAGCTTTTGCAATGTGACAAACACGGAAGTCCTGGTGACGACCTTTGACTGACAGACGCGAGAGCCAATCGTATTCTCCGCTCTTCAATTTCAGCCAATGAGATTTAGAAGGGGAGGAGCCATGTCGTGACTCCTAGGCGTTGCCTTGACGAAGCAAATTCATTTTTCAGTGGTGTCAGTTGGAGAGAAGACAACCTGTGAACATGTCTAACACGGCACAAGACAGATATGGAGGTAACGAATTTTACATACATGTTTTTAATTTAAAGTAGACAGAAGTTGTGGACTCATGCGGACGGCATTTTAAAAGTTAGCAAAATAAATACAGTGACTTTTAAGGTACGGTGTCTCTTAGGCTCAGTATCATCACTGAAGCGCTGTTTACTGTCGTTAACTATGTTCTTATTAGAGAGTCGACACACCTGTACTGTCAGTCTGCTTTCGCTTTAATACATTTGAAGTTAGCTCAACATGTGAGGCAGGTTTTGTGTATCATAAAACACTCTGAATGTCAGGACTTAATTGCTCTTTCTCTCACCTTCCCAGGAAGTGTTGCTAAAGACAACATAACAGCAACAGACAGAGCGGGTGAGTGCTTTACGTACACTGTTTTTTAAAGCTCTTGTACTTTTATTTAAGTTGCTTGTGAGTTTTATTTGCTCTCACCGAAGCAAAAGTGGAACAGACAATGTAAACATGTACAAACATCAGGTTTATTATGAGTGAAACTCAAGTACAGTCACTCAGGCAGGGTGAGATTAATCATCAACTGAATGTGCCTTGGTTATTGCTGTGTGTCATCTAGACAGGATGTCATCTCCCTACATTTCCCGTCATGCCTTGATATTTTGAAACTGATCAGCATTGGACTATAAAGGTGGATTTTTATTTTGGTGGAGTGAAAATTCAGGTATTGAATATCAAATTTGAGACAGCCCATTCAGCCACATTGTTTGTCATAATGTAATATAAACCTGAACAAGTGCATTTTAATGCAACAGCCCTGCAATAAATTTTCCTTTCATTAAGGTTATGAGTCATTGTTGAAGCTGTCTTACAGAGGTGTTGAATTAATTGTATCGTCAGTTAGGGGGTTGCGTTTATGGTGATGTTGTAAATCAATATCGTGATATAAGACTAGATATTATATTCGATTTTGGAGGTCACAACTTGTGTTATCTTTTCCTGATTTTAAAAGCTGCATTATCCCTGATACTGTTCTAGCTGCTCTATTATTTGCCTTTACTCACTTATCCATTATTTCCACATTACGTATGATTATTTACAAAAGCTCTCAGAAGGAAAGCACCAACAGTCAACCCTACGACATATCCACAATATTGATATTAAGACATTTGGTCACGAATATTGTGATATTTGATTTTCTAATTGTATTGTTATATTGACAGGTGTTTTTCACATTTTGTCCACCCAGTTTATTGAACTTTTAGGGTACACTAAATATTAGAAACACCTCTATGTGTGCAGACTCCAAAATGACCAGTACGTTGAATCTACACTTCAGTAAAACTGTTCTAAAAAGAAACTCAACATTATGAGGTACTTGTGTTACGCTGCAGTACTTTCAGCTTAGTAAACCAGATAAACTGCCAACTCAGTGTACACAAGCAAAGAAATGTGTATATATGGATTCACTTTTTTTTCAAAAGTCAGATAATACCGTTCAAGTTGTCAAACACCCCGTAGCTGCTACCTTTAGCACGCAAAGTCTAACCTACATATCAGTAGGGTGGGGTATGGAGGTGTCACTTTTGGCCTCTGTTCTTTTACCAGCCTTTGCCATCTTTCTCCAGCTGTCAGCCAGCTATTGACGGCCATGAGAACTCTAAGCTGATGGAACAATGGCTGCTTGACCCCATACCAGCAGCAGTGGAGCATTTCGTGCACCTGTAGTTGTGCTGCTTAACAAAGAAGCCTGAAAAGCTCAATCCTTCTCTGTACTTTTGGCAACTTCAATGACACATTTAGAGTATTTGTGACACAAAAAGCTGTATAATCCGACTTTTAAGTGCATTTTTGTTAAGTAATTACTAGTAGCCTATATTCTGCATTGTTGCCTGGGATATTAATGTGTGTGTTGTTTTTTATAGCATGCACGGAGAACCTAACAGAGACTGATGCCTTCATCAAAAGGTAAACTGTTTCCTCTTGTTTGTGTGGTTATTAGTTGGAAACTCTCACGTCCCACCAGTCCAGTACTAAAACCTAATGTTGTTTCTGTGCTCTTTTATTTCTGAAACAGCTCTCTAGCTTTGGATCCCGCAGAGGAGTACAAGATGGACAACAAAAAACGAGGCCTTGCACTCATCTTTAACCAGGAGCGGTTCTTCTGGCGCCTGGGGCTAAATGACAGGCATGGAACAAATGCTGACCGCTACAACTTGGAGAAAAGGTATCACTACCCAGCTGCGTGAGAGGGAACACTGTATTCTGCAACTATGTACTTAAGAACTTGTCTGTACTTGTTCAGGGATTGTAAGTCTTTCCTATAACTCTCTTTTAGACTGAAGGATCTAAACTTCGAAGTGAGGGCTTATGATAACTACAAACAGGTGGAAGTCTTAGAGAAAATCAATGAAGGTAAGCACGTGTATGATCCCTTATCACACTTAAATGACAAAATATATATGCATCACTACAACATCACTACTGTAATTTAAAATCTTAACAGCTTCCTTGTTGTCCTGTGTATGCAAAGTGTAATCCAGCGTGTCATATGCTACTGTACAAACCACTTTTAACAAATACCTGATGTCTCACCAGCCGCTGAGGCCAACCATTCAGATGCAGACTGCTTTTTGCTCGTCTTCCTGAGCCACGGGGAGAATGATCATGTTTACACTTACGATGGCAAGATCAGCATTCAGGATATCACATCCCTGTTCAAAGGAGACAAGTGCAGGAGCCTCGTAGGAAAGCCAAAGATCTTTATATTACAGGTACATGCAAACAAAACCCAGTCAAATCCATCCATCAGTGTATGGCAGCATGCAGTATTACCGGTTTTTAATGCTTTACTTGGAAAGCTATTGTTCTTAAAATGCAGTCAAAGTAAAGTGGCTTTGTCTGTCACCAGGCATGTCGAGGAGATAAGCATGACGATCCAGTGACTGCCTGTGATGCTGTAGACAGTGAGCTGAAGACAAATGAGGTGGTGGTGGACGCCAGCGCTGTACACACTCTCCCTGCTGGGGCTGATTTCATCATGTGCTACTCTGTGGCTGAAGGTGAGCTGGGGGGGATGTTTAAAACCCTTAAAGGGATACTACACCCTCAAAATGACAGTTTTTATATCAGTTACTCACCCCTGTATGTTGATTTTTTTGAGAAAAAATGTGTTTTTCTTGCATGCTTCTGGTGACGAAGAATCCACAAACATAAAATTCTTGATGAAGTTGAGTCATTGGGGTCCACATTTAACAAAACTATATCAAAACATCCTTTTACAAACTCTCAAACAACTAATATAGTATAATCCAAGTCTCATTTATCCAGCTGAATGCTCTGTACTTCCCAAACATGCATTTTTGTTAAAACCTTGAAAGTGAAACCTTTGTATGCTCTCTTTAAAGCCAGACTCCAATGACAAAAACAGTCATTTATCTCGCTGAGCAGCCCTGTCCTGCTTTGATTGGTAATTTCTTTGTGTTACTGTGAAACTTTAGTGTTTTAAAGAGTTAGTACAGATTCACTGGAATTTTGAGTTGTGTGAAAGTTCGTAAACAGATATTTGATACAGTTTTTCGGTTGTTAAATGCTGACCCCTATGATTTCAATTTATAAAGAGTTTTCTTTGTTTTGGGAATCTTCGGTCACCATAGAAGCATGTGAGAAAAATCAGGGTTTCTTCACAAATTTACTATAACATGGAGTGAGTGACTGATGTACAAATGGTCACTTGGGTGTTAAAGTATTCCTTTAATTTAGTTTTGTCCCAGCACGATAGGAACATTTACATTTCAGGTACTTTGAAGGTGTAGATGTTGAATATTAAACGCACTGGAAATTAAGAAAACACATGCAAATAGACAAAATGACTTCACCAATTTGACAACGCATGTGCAGCATTTAGAAAAAATGCTGCAAAAAGCTGATTCTAGAGGACCCAAAAAAGAGCTCTCACCTGGGGCATGCTTGATGTTGCCATGGTCTATTCAACTTATTAAGTTATTGAAGTCAGCTATCCATCAGTGGTGTTTGAAAATGGGCTAAGTGATTCAGATAGTATTGCGGATATATGCTGTTGACCTAGCTTTAGCCTATTGGTTATTATTATAAATTTCATTTTATTTATCCTGTCAGCAAAACCCTGCGATAGTTTAAGTTGGTTTCTGCTATGACAGGTTCTAAAAGTTATTATAAACATTAAAGCCAGCAAAATAACGTTAGACTGTTTCACATTTAATTTTGTGTATTTCATTGGAATAATAACTTAGTCAGATCAACAGCTTTCTTAGTCACAAACCATGGCCATACAGGGTGTCTGTGGCTTAGTGGATGAACCAGTCGCCCCACGCACAAAGGCTTCGTCCTTGCCGCAGTGGTCTGGGTTTGATTCCAGCCTGCAGCCCCTTGCTGCATGTCGTTCTCTCTTTCTCCCCCTTTCACGCTTATCAATTAAAGGGAAAACGCCCAAAAAATAATCCATGGCCACACTATGCGTGCATCACTCTTTAGTGTCCCATGGAAACAGCTTCCGATGATGTCTGTGCTATTTGCAGAGCTTTTCTGTTTTTGGTTGTTTTCTGTATTTACAGCGTTTTTTTGTTTTGTTTTGTTTTTTTATGCTGCCCCCAGGGTCACCGTACATTTAAGTCACATTAAATGTCCTTTTTGCTTTTCAGTTAATAATGATCCTGTCCTGTCACCTGTGTTGTTTCTTAAGGTTACTATTCCCACCGGGAGACCCTCAACGGCTCCTGGTATGTCCAGGATCTCTGTGAGCTGCTTCAAAAGTATGGAGACTCCCTTGAATTCACAGAATTACTGACACTGGTGAACAGGAAAGTGTCGATGAGGAGTGTCGGGAACAGTTCTGACAGGAATGCCATTGGGAAGAAGCAAGTACCTTGCTTTGCTTCAATGCTCACCAAGAAACTTTACTTCCGACAGAAACAGTAACAGTTTCAGACCTTAGCTGTAAAATGAGCTGGTTTAAATTCAGATCTGGAAAACAGGCTCTCCTGGAAGATTATTAAGAATTTTGCTGTTTTTCTATAGTCCTCGCTGTACTTTGCTCATAAACACTAATATTCACACATCCGTTGAACAATCAGTGAACTGGCAGCTGTCGTATTTACAGTGAAATCAGTGGTTACAAAATAACAGAAACAACTTGTATTCACAAGCACAGAAGAAATACGACTATTCTTTGCCTTAGGCCATCACTACATTTCTGAAACCTCATGTCATTTGAAACTGTGGTTTCATTTGTCAGATAAAGTTTCTTCTGGAGAAACTATATTTGTTGGCCGGGAAAACCTTGACCTGGTTTATAAAAGGTTTTTGTATTCACACGATAGATAATCAGGACAGGGAAGTATCTATCTGATGAGGGTAGAGGAGAAATCTGATTATAGACCAGGCAGCTACTCAACATGTTGTAGCATGTGAGTTACTGGTTTATCTTACCTTTCTGAGCCAGATGCCTGTACTACGAAGCAGGATTTTCTGTTAGCGAGGTAACTTCAGGGTTAACTCTGGGTTTTCAGCATTATGAAGCTGGTTCTCCTTTTACAGGGATAAATCACCATGGTAACTTACAGAGAGATCATGTACAACACTTAACTTTAATGTTGATTTTAGCTGCATTTACAGTGTGGCTGATTATACACTCTGATTCCATCACTGCAGCTCAAATAACATGAGACACCTGAGTCATGAGAAGTGGAAATGAAAAGACTGTATTTCAGTAGAGAAATAGTCCACACACTTTCAATTGGCTCCTGTGATTATACATGCAACATTTTGGTCAGATAGACCTCATCAGTCATGAACTACTTTTCCACTCTTCGGTAGCAGAAACCATCTGGCATTACTTTAAAGAGAGTAGCAAAACACACTCACTTGACACTTAACAGATATTTACTGATACCTCCATGTATTTTAAGACTTTTATTTTTTTCTGTTGTAAGATCAGAAGCTATCATTTACATTTCACTGCCATGAACAGGACAATTTGCTGTTCCTAAAACACATCTTTCACACTGATAATTATGAGCACCATTGCATCTAATATAACATGAAGTAAGCTACTTCATTCATGGTTCTGATGATGTCACTGTAATATAACACTGTAACAACCACACCTCTTTCACATAAACCTGCTTGTTGCTGGATAGAAAAACCCAAAGCTGCCTGAGGGAGTTGTTAACCAGCTTTGTGATACTGTTTACCCAGACAGTCAGTGTTAGCTAAAAGATATCCTTTTAAAAAACAAAACATCAGCCTTTAGGGAAAACAGCAGATGTATTTGCCAGTATCCACCAATGTGCTTCCAATAGTCTAATGCAAGAGTGACTTTACATCCAGTACTAGCTTATAAAAACCATAATGTGAATGTTTTGCGTATATATGACATAAATGCGGTGAGTTAAATCAGGGGTAATTTTTGAGACTATATGGTCTTGTTGTATTTCATTATGTTTTAAGTTGTTCCTGTTATTTTGTCCAACTCCTGTAAACATGTTGCACTTCCAAGTAATTGCTTTTAGACTGCAGGATTATTATGGACCGTATTCTGTGTTCTTTTCTTAGCCTTTTGTTACCATTTTATTTGCTTCGATAATCTAGTTTCAACTACTGTGGTACCACACAAATGTTGCCTTATCCCGCAGCTGAGAAGACAGTAGAGGTTGACATTTCCAGTGCCCATGCAAGCTTTCCTCAGACTCTAAGTAAGCTGGAAATTTCAGATGAGTCTGGTTTTCTTGACTGTAAAATCAGTTGCAGGAATGTCTGCAAATCAGACAAATACTTTCCAATTAACTGTAACTTGCGAGGCAGGTGACAGAACAGCACAACAACCAGGTAACACTACTTCTGTTTATCCCATCAGGGTTTTGTACTACAATATCTCTCTATAAACATGCTGTTTGTCCTCAAACTCGCTCCATCAAAAAGGGAATTCATGTTCGTGCTGTTCTTTGTGTTGTAGCAGTTTTCACTACATTTAAAAAAAATGCATATTTGCACCCAACATGGCAACAAACACCTGTGTGAGAAGCACCTCAGGGAGGAGGCTGTACTGTGGACCTAAAACACTTCTAGCTGTGTCACATGATATGACTCAGGAAAAACAAAGCTACCAGCATACACTGATCCTGTATCTCTGTGGTCGTACTGTTGTGACTTTGTGTAATAAAATCTATGTGACATTTTAGTTGCTCCCGTTAGTTATTACGTTTTATATAATGTTCATGATGTCTTCATTTCACCTGTGCCTGAAATCTCCATTGTTAAAATGAAAAAGGATTTTTATTTGTCTACCAGCAGTGAGTGCAATCACAATAAGACATCAGACAGACAGGAGACTCTCTCGACGTTTGGGAAATACTTTTTTATTTCAATAGTCCTCAGTGTTCATACTTTTCTCAAAGACATAATTGGCATCAAGACTGTAAACAAAACACAGAATGATATGGATTCCTAGTAAAAAGGCGCCATTATCAAAATAAAGCAGAAAATTTGTTTTTGCTCTGGATCGTTGTTAAGTGTGAGTGACCGTTAGTCATGGCTTGGCTTTATCCGTGCTTTGGCTGGATCTGTTCAAGTGGTAGCTGATATTGAGTCGGATATCTCAGACGTCTCAGGTCCTCCTCCACCTGATGCACACAAAACACAGACCACTTGTTACATCAGCACATTATGTAACACTAGCTCCACCATGAGGTTCATATTTGTGGTTTTGAGTACTCAACAATTACTGCGTGGATTGCCATGACATTTGGTACAGACATTTATATAATCCTTAGGGTGAATTATAATAACTGGTGAATCCTAAATTTCTAACCTAGCTTCATGAGCTCAAAGCTGTCTGATACTTTAATTTATGATTCATGACATTCCATGAGTGTCAGCTGTGCTTTGTGTTTAGTGCAAATTAGCAGATGTTACCATGCTAATATGCTAAACTACAATAAATAACACGGTAAACATGACACCTCCTTTACATCAGCATGTTAGTACGTTCATGTGAGCCTCAAGGAGCGTGGCTGTAGACTCTTACTGTGTGTTAAAATACACATACTACCTTACAATAAAACATCCCTGAAACAGACTCAGTCTGTCCCCTACTGCATCTGGTCACTTTTTGCAGCATGCTTTCCTGGCTATTCTGACCCACAGTTCTCTGCACAGCGGAATATTAGTCACATCGACTGAGCCACAAACAGCTGACAGCTTGACAGCTCATTTTGCCTGCTGTCAGACGCCGCAATGACGGATGACTGTGCATTCAAGTGACTGATGACCAGCTGAATACATGGTAATAATGGGAAAAAGAATTGTGTAAATGAACAAAATAATCAAGAAGCGAAAGGACATAACTATGAAAACTGTCGTGATACTAATACTGCATGTTAGAGTCTACAGTGTATGCAGTTATTACTTAAAACGTAATCTACAAACACTGCAAAAAACAACAGCAGAGCTCTCTGGGTTGACCTCAGTTGGGCGAGCTCAGCGAATGGCGTTTCGTATCTCCAAGGCAAGAGGTTAAAGTTAAAGGTGAAGTAGTACGTGCCAATAGTATGCATACTCCATGCCAGTAGTTCTCAAACTTCCTGTGCCCAAGGCACACCAAAGGGCGAGCCAAGATCTCAAGGCACACCTGTATTTATATCTGTGCACAATAGCTTCTATAATGTGTGTTATCGCTCTTATCACGACGTAAGACAATAAAAATAAGGAAAAATCAGACAGGTAGGTTTCGTGATACTGTCTGCTGACAGTTTTCTTTCAGTGGTAGGTCGTCTTCACTGGTGTTTTGCTGTAATTTGCTCCGTACAATAAAGCGATCCACTGTCCCACTCACAGCTTTCTCCTTTTAACTGTTATCATCCTGCACACTGGCTGCCAATCAGAGCTTTTGATGTGTCAAACACTTATAATTCCCATGCGCAAATGGCAACAAATAGGTTCCCTGTAAAGGTTTTTTTTTAAATTAAATTCAATTAGAGTTTGCCTCTTGATTAGGAAATGGGTGACATACTGATGCAGTCAACTAATTGGCATCATGGCACACCAGTGTACCGCGGCACACCATTTGAGAACCACTGCTTCATGCAACAGGACGTACTTCATGAGGGCAGCTGCAGTATGTGCTATACGACTTGTAACACAGTAGGCTAGTCTTGTTTGCTAATGTACATGCTGTTATCTTGAGAAAAACAAAAATCTTTTAAACAATGTCTGTGTGTTATTTGGCTTGAATGGGAACTAGTAAGTCACTGGAATTTCACAAATTTATCTTCCATGTTTGCATGTCTTCATGTCTTACACTTTAATTACTGACATGGTTAAATTGTAGTATGTGCAATTTACATGCTCTTCCTATATTTTTATGTGTCCAAATCATGTTGGTAAGGTAGACTGTAACTCTAAAATGCCTGTATTTATGGGGTTGTAAAAAGAACCAATTAACCAACCTCAGCCAGCTCATCTTTCAGTTTGTTGTATTTTTGCACGTTGAATTTCTTCTTGCTGGCCACCTTATGAAAGTAATTCAGGAACTGTCTGTCTTTAACGTCTGGGTATACATAATCCTGAGGGAAGAATAAAACAGGATTCCTATTAATGTGGGGAGGAAATCATATCTGCACAAGCACTAAGAAGTCTTAGCGCTTGTGCAAAAGTCTTGCTAAGAGTTAGATGAGAAGATTGATATTATTGTTATATCTGTCCATTAAATATGGAATCACAGCTAGCAGCTTGCAGTTGGTTCAGCGTAAGGACTGGAAGCAAAGCTAACCACCTACCAGCACCTCTAAAGGTCACTTATTAACACATAATTTTTAGTTTGTTTAATCTGTACAATAGCCAGTGTGTAAATCTGCCAGTTTGTTTCATGGTTTGCTGTAGGTGCTGAACTTCCTCAGGGTGTGGCGTGGTAAATTCCTGAAGTCTGAGAAGTTGTCAGGCAAGCAGCAGAGGCAAGAAGTGACCTCAGCAGGCCAATAAATAGGCCAAACCACCAATTATCTGATGCTGGTAGGTGGATTTTGTTACCTTCAGACAGGGCCAGGCTTGTTGGTTCCAGTCTTTATGCTAAGCTAAGCAAACTGCTGGCTGTAGTTTCCTATTTAACAGACAGACATGAGAGTGGTATCGATCGTCTCATCTAACGCTCCACCAAAAGCAAATTTCTCAAAGTGTCAAACTGCTCCTTTATATCCTTTATATCAAATCTGGGGTTATTGTCTTTGGTGCCTGAGACTTGCCTGTTTGGTGAGGATATAATAGGCGAACGCTCCCATGCTGGTGGAGTAGGTGATGAAGTACGTGACGGGTTCCATGACGTCCCAGGAAAAAACCCACCAGGTGAGCCAGGCCAGAGCGCCACCCTGCACAGATAACAGGGCCAGGCCGGTCCAGGCCATCCTGGAGCTCTGGAAGTCTGCCGTTTTAGACATCTGGGCCATCATCTGTCAAAGTCAAGCAATGATACAAGGAGGGATGGGTTACCATTTAACAAACTAACAGGACAAAAGTGTCAACTGCTCCTTTAAAAACACTACAAACAAACTGTTGCGCGGACATAACGAGGGAGAAAGACAAGTTTAATGGCGTATAGATGTTTGAGACCTATGTACTACCTTCTCCAGAGGTGACAGCTCCTGTTTGAGGTTGTCCATTCTCTCCAGCAGCTCCCTCTCTTTAAGCACGTGGTGTTCGGGCAGGTGGAGAGCCATGTGCAGCAGGTGCACAACATGCTTCACGTCCTCCAGCTCCATAGCGTGCTCGCTGGAGGTACACACTGCAACAGAGGACACGACAAGGTGGATGAGGATGAGAAAGTGAGACGAGTCGTACCTGGAGGGATCACCGCTGCTATTTCTCAGCAAGCCTGAGTCGTAATTGCAAAGCAGACAAACTGAGGACCATTTATGACGTTAGAGAAATGTGTCTGTACCCTTTTCGGGAGAGCTGACATTATAAACAGCATCATTGATGACAAGCTGGAAGTCCTTGTCCAGCAGGCTGTCTATCAGCGTGGTGTTGGCTACACGCTCTCCATCTGTCAGAGGACGACAAACATACAACTCAGTACTTTTATTGCAATCATATTTTTTAATAGCTCAGACAGACCGCCCACATAAACTCAATAAAAACTGAAAATAGACACAAAAATACATAAAAAAGGTAATTAAATAGCCTACTAAACAGCTCACCTCTGCACACCTCATAAAAAGAGCAAGTTAATATCTTAAAACAAAGTTACTCATCACTGCAAGACTACAGGTTTTATAAAGGAATGAGACACATGGGAAGAATAAGGAAGACTCCAAGGTATAGTACAAGATCTGTCCAACGTAATTCCAACGTGCCCTATTTCCTACAGTGATACAAATCAACCTGTCAGCCTGCCTCAGGTGATGTTTTAGGATCTATTTCCTTCTGAACAGCTTGCCTGCATGTGTTGCATTGAGTTGGTGTAGATGGACAGAGCGATGACAGAAAAAAAGCACGTCCTTCCAGTCTGGAGAGTGTGAGTCACAGCCTGTACTTAAAATGCATGCAGGGGTTTTACAGTATGGACCAACAAGGACTGCTAAAATACTTAACTTAACTGTAACTGCCATATATAGATGACCCTTACATCACCTATTGCAATGGGGTCCCAGGGATGCAAGGGGTCATAAGATGATTCAAAGGAAAGGGAAAGTAAAAATATATTTCTGTTGCTTAATCTTCAACTTTTTTGTACTTTTTCCCCCTTTTGAAACATTGGATACTTTTACCTCCTCAGGTAAATGAAAATACCTCAGACGGAAAATCACCGCTCACAGCTCACGCCCACATTAATGCACCCCACCAGTTCAGTCAGTGGTGAAATTAGTTAATGGTTTGTAAAAAGATACTCTGCAGGCACTGTGCCAAACCACCCTGAGCTGCTTTTCAGCTTTCACTCCCAGCAAAGAACCTGTCAAACCGGCTTGCAACAAAAATGGCTAAACCTGACTGACTGAAACCTCAAGAATGTGACCTGTCTGGGTTGCGCATAGCCGACACACATGCTGTCCTACCCTTGGAGAAAATGGAGGCCGTGGCTCCGGGGTCCTCTCTCCGCAGATCTGCGATCAGGTCTCCAACACTCATCAGCATGGGTCGGAGGAAGAACAGACACTTCTCATTCCTGGAGGGCAACGGGACCTCCAGAAC